CTGTGCGTGGGTGTTACCTTCTAGGTTAATTCTTTTTGATCTCACCTTTTCTCTAGTTCCTGGTCCCCTTTTCCTATTGGCCTCAGTTGCTTTAAGGTATCTGCTTTAGTTTCTCTGCGTTAAGGGCAACAAATGCTAACTAATTTTTTAGGTGTCTTACCTATCCTCACCCCTCCCCTGTGTGCTCTAGCTTTTATCATGTGCTCAAAGTCCAATCCCATTGTTGTGTTTGCCCTTGATCTAATGTCCACATATGAGGGAGAACATACGATTTTTGGTCTTTTGGGCCAGGCTAACCTCACTCAGAATGATGTTCTCCAATTCCATCCATTTACCAGCGAATGATAACATTTCATTCTTCTTCATGGCTGCATAAAATTCCATTGTGTATAGATACCACATTTTCTTAATCCATTCGTTGGTGGTGGGGCATCTTGGCTGTTTCCATAACTTGGCTATTGTGAAAAGTGCCACAATAAACATGGGGAAATACACAAACTTTAAATGTATACTTCAATAAGTCTGAGAAAATGTATATACCTATGTAACTACCACTATAATAAAGACACAACATATCATAACCCTAACAAGTCCGTTATACCATTCTAAGTCTTCCCTCCAGCCCCAGACAACCACTGAACTGCTCTGTGTTGCTGAGGGTTTTCTTTGCCTTTGGTACATTTCATATGAGTGGAATCGTTCATATGTACACCTCTTGCTGACCTCCTCTGCACAGCATAGTGTTCTGATCACCCATGTAGTTACATTCATTATTAATTCATCCCATTATTAAAATTAAGAAAGCTTTATGTCACACAGTGACATCTGACAAACCGCACACATTACAATGTACGATTTGTTAATATTCAGGCCTGAGACTGGTATTCCTAGCAAGGTCAACTTTCAAGTTGGATTTTGGGAATGTCTCCATCATCTCCTGTAAGAGTGGCTCACTGCCCCCTAAACCGTGTAAATAGTCCTGCTCAATACCTGCTTTCTTTCAGGGAATCAGGAATTTCTGTAAATTTCCTGGGCACTTAGTCCCTAATGAGTTTCCCAGGTAGAAGACATTTCACGTGTTGTCACCACTCAATGCTTGGGGAACTAAGTGTGTCTCAAGTGAAAGGATGGTAGGAAAGGATCCTTACAGTCTTGTGCCTGATTTCCTCCTGACTTCACACTGGGTGTTTTTCTCCTGTGGTTCTGCTTTTGTCTCTTTCCTCTGGGATAAATCATAGCTATAAGTCGCCACACACTGAGACCTGTGAATCCTCCTAGTGAGTCATGGAACCTAGAGCTGATCTTCAGGACCCCTAACTGAGATAAATTTTGATATAAAAATACATTTACTATATTTCTATTACTTCACCTTGTCTTCCATGGTATCCAATCTGCTATTAATCCCATCCTTTAAATTCAAATTTTAGAAACAATATTTTTCCTATCAATCCATTTGGCTCTAGAGTGTCTTCTGTGTCCTCAATATGCTCACTTGTTGTGCATCCTTAAGTATTTCTGCTTATTCCTGAGAGCTGAGAGTGGTTTTACTATCTTTGCTAATTACAACATCTCAGTTACTTCTGGGACTGTCATTTTGATTTTTTTGTTCTTAACAGTCACATTTTCTAATTGATTTGTCTGATAAATTTTGATAAGGTGCCAGATATTACTTGTATTTTATCAAATACTCTGGTTCTTTTTGTTTGTTTGTTTGTTTTGGGGGACTGGGGTTTGAACTTGGGTCTTCATGCTTGCAAAGCAGGTGCTCTACCACTTGAGCCATACTTCCAACCCCCAATACTCTATCTTATTATACTTAAGGGTATTAAATTTTTCTGGCAAACAGTTAGTTACTTACAGATGAACTTCCTTGTTTTTAGGTTCATCTAGGCCACATTCAAAATATCCCTTACTCTCAAGTTGTGGCTTTTCTGGGTCTGTGTATTCTATAAAGTCTCCGCTGTGGCTAATGGGGACTGAGGGTGTCTTAACCATCCCCAGCTCTGTTCCCTCTGGAAATTGTTCATTCTAGAGTTCCCTGATTCTTATTCTGTGCCCAGAAGTTGCTCGTCTCTGAACTTAAGAGGTTTTATACTACACATGTGAAAAGGGAGTAGTACTCAGCCAAAGCCTCAAAGGGTCTTGTCTGGAATTCTTTCTCTCCTTCCTCCTTTTGGATAATCTGTACTTATACTAACTGCCTCAATCTCCACAAATTCCAGTTATTTCATCCTTGCGCAGGGATTGCTGGGCTCTGTTTGGGTTTTCCTTCTCTGTGCCATTATCCAGAAATTGCTTCCCAACAGAAGGAGTGCCTCATTCATTCCTCCCTTTTTCAGGTTTCCTAGTCCTGTGCTATCTGTAGTCTAATATTTGAAAATGCAAGAAATAAAAAATTAAAAAATGTGGCGGGACACGTCTGTAATCCCAGCAATGGGAGGCTGAGGCAGGAGGATCTGTAGTTCCAGGCCAGTTTGGACTTCACGGTTAGACCCTGTCTCAAATCAAAACAAAACAAAACATTTTTCTTAAGGAAGTGAGATGTATGTAAATATGTTTATATTTTAAAATACAGTGTTCAGTGGAAAATACAACATATTACTTAAAAAATGTTACTCAGATTTCCGATTGCAGTCGAAAAAGAGAAGTAGGATCTAGAATTATCCCACTGTTAAAACAAACAAACAAACAAACCTAGAAAACTGGGGACAAAAAGGTAATATATAGATATAATTAACATCCTTTTTTTGGTAGGACTGGAATTTGAACTCAGAGCTTTGCACTTTGCAAAGCAGGCACTCTAGTGCTTGGGCCACACCACAAGTCCATTTTGCCCCAGTTATTTTGGAGATGGGGGTCTCTTGAACTATTTGTTGAAGCTGAACCTCAATCCTCCTAATCTCAGTCTTCCAAGTAGCTAGAATTACAGGTGTTGAGTCACTTGCCACCAGGCTAACATCCCTTATTATAGCTGGATAGTATTCCATCTAGTGGATAAATAAAATAGTCCTTGTCTGATGAACACTTCAGTGATTATTAATCTTTTGCTATTGTAAGAACAGTGAAATGAATAAATTTGCCAGTACATCTGTGAGACAAATATTTATAAGGGGGGTTGCTGGGTCAAGGACAAATGTGGATTTTTTTTTTTTTGGTAGATAGTAACAAATTTTCCTCTGGGTCTTTTTTTAATCATTTGTTTATTCACCAGAAATGAAACAGTGCCTATTTTCATACACCCAGCCTCACAAATAAAGTGTTGCCAAACATTAGAATTTTTGCCCACACAATTAGAGAAAGGTGGCACACTAGTGTAATTTTAACTTGCACTTATGAATAAGGTTGGATCTTTTATATGGGTAAGAGCCACCTGTTTTTTCATGTTTATGAATTGCCTGTGGCTTTCTATATATAGCTTGTTTTTCTATGGGAGTTTTTTGTCTTTTATTCCTCTAATTTTGGAAACTCATGAGCTGTGACATCAGTTATAGATAACATCTTATTTGTCTAGGTAGTTTACTTATAGTGTATTTGCCATGGAAAGACTTTTTGTTTTATGTTATCAAGTTTATTGATTTTTTTTTGAGTCCCAGACCTGAAAGTTTTTCTCATTCCTAAATTGAAAAAAACAAAACTACATACTTATGAAGTACTCATATAGTTTCGTTTAACTTAAAAAGTTAACTCTCTTATCCGTTTGGAATTTTCCTGGTGTATGGTGTGGGAAATGAATCCAGTTTTATTCTTGCGGTGATATTGGCTAACCTGTTTGTTCTGGACTCATCTGTCTATCGAGATGGGAGGCGTCAAATACGCAGGTAAACTGGCAAAGCAACGTACAAGAAAGTCACAAGAAGTAAATCATTATTACTGTTTGTAAATTTTCAACATGACAATTTCATAATACCGCCCTGCTATGGTCCGGATGTGTCTCTGCCCTCAGATTCACATGTTGAAACGGAGCCCCCAGTGCAACAGCTTGAGATGTAATTTGCACTTTTTGTCTTTTTCATTACTCCGTTTGGAAGTCCAAACCCTGTTACTATATTTCTTTCGGTGTTGCACTGGCCTTCCTAACAGAGAGGTGCTCTGGGAATCCACACATTTGGTTTTGCTCCCCAAATAAATGGTTGCTTTTTGATCTCTCGTTAAGCATTCTGGGCATTTCTTTCCTGTGGTTCAGTTTTAATTTTCCTCTTTCATCTGTGGATGATAATTTACCACCCATCTTCTATCTTAAATATATATATGGCTCTGTGGGGGAAATTTTAAGATGGTCAAGGAGAATGCTAGATCATTCAGCAGCTGGAGCTAATCAATCATTCATTAATATCTGATAAATTTAGACTTCCACTTCTAAATTTAGCGTCATTGTCACTTACAAAACCACTTTTCAGTTTAGGCCGGGGCTGCAGGGCTCTAGTGGAAACCCTACCGCCTCGCGCCACTCGGGGTACCTGGGCCTCCTCTGGGCCTCCAGCACCGCACGCGGTCCCAAACCACGCTGCGGGGAAAACAGGGGAGGATCGGGCAGGAGGCTCGGTGGCAGCTGCCAACGCCTCAGGGTCCGCAAACGTCTCCAGCACCAGAGACTTTTTTGCGCGACCCCGCCTCGCGCGCTGGGGGCCTCTGGTGACTCGCGCCGCGCCCGGAGAAGGGCTGAGGTCCCGGAGAGCTGCGCGGTGGGTTCCGTCCGGGTTCCAGCTTCCCAGCAGCGCCCTCCCCAAGGGCGGTCCCTGGCTCTCGGGGCCGCGACAAGTGGGCGGCCAGAGGCGGGTGGCGAGCCTGACGCTGGGACCAAGTGACCGCGGCTATCCGAAGAGAAACGAGGCCTGGAAAGGAGGAGGACGAGAGAGGAGAATCTGGTAGATGAAGGGGAGCTGCCGCCGAGGAGGGAGGCGCATCCTTTCGACTGCAGCCGTCACGGTTCCCGGACGCAGCGCGAGGTTCCCGGACGCAGCGCGAGGTGTCCGCCCGCCTCTGGTAAGGTGCTGGCTAGGTAGCTCCCCACCCAAGGGCGCCCTCTGCTGCCTCTGCCCGCGCCCGGGACGGAAGGGGTTGGCGCGCTCCGAGTGCCAGGGCGCACGGCACCCCGAGCGCGGCGCCCTTGAGCCGCACCGCGGCGCAGGTTGGCCAGCCGACTTGTCCGCCCGCCAAGAAAAGGAAGCTCTGTCCCTTCCCGCTCGCCCGGCTCCCCACCCTGTGTACTCTAAACCCTGCGGCGGGCGAGCGAGCGGCGCGGCCACGGAGGCGCCGAGGAGGGGCGAGCCGCCGCCGGGCAGCGGCGTGGCCCCGGGGGACAGGGCGCCGGAGAGGAGGCGGAGGCGCGGCGGCGAAGGCGCGGCGCGCGATGGCAGCTGCTTAGCCCGGAGGGCACGGAGCAGCCCCGAGCTGTGGCTGGCCAGACGGTGCGTCTGGTCCGGGGACACAGCAGCCGCTGCAGCCCGGCCGACAGAGATGGGCACCGAGGCTGGCGAGGGCATCACGTTCTCCGTGCCGCCCTTCGCCTCCTCGGCCTTCTCCACCTTCCACGAGGGCAGCAGCTGCCGGAGGGGAGGAGCGGCGACTGTGGCCGTGGGTGAGCCAAGCCAGCTACCGCCGCCGCCACCGGGCAGCTTCTGGAACGTGGAGAGCGCCGCCGCCCCTGGCACCTCTGGGTGTCCTGCTGCCACCTCCGGGAGCAACGCCACCCGGGGCCGGGGCAACTCTGGCAGTGGGGGCGGCCGACGGACCACCGTGGCGTATGTGATCAACGAAGCGAGCCAGGGGCAGCTGGTGGTGGCCGAGAGCGAGGCCCTGCAGAGCCTGCGGGAGGCGTGCGAGGCGGTGGGCGCCACCCTGGAGACCCTGCACTTTGGGAAACTGGACTTCGGGGAAACCACGGTGCTGGACCGGTTTTACAACGCAGGTGAGTGTGTGGTCTCCTCGCTGCCTTCGGGGTAGAATTTAGTTTTTGTATTTTCCTGGGCGGGAAGCGTGCTTCCTACTTAGGTCTCACCCCACCTTGGGGACAGCGAGCGCCCAGCGTGACAACTCCTGGCGCTCGCGGCTCCTGGCAGAGTGTGCAAGAGTCAGACGGAATGTGTGCGGAGACCTGCTGACCTGTCCACCGCCCCGCGGTGGAGCCGGGGTCCCTGTGCTCCACTGTTCGTCAGTCCCTCCCCATCCAAGAGTGTCTGTTTCGCTTTTGTTAGGTTTGTGCCGTGTTCCTTTGACATATACCTGTGACCCTTCAGGTGACGTTCTGCTTTGCTCTGTAGTTGTCTGTAGTTTTAGGAGTGCAGACACAGGACTTATGTTGTCACACAGCCAGCTGCATGCAGAGTGAGTGTATCTATATAAATTTGCATGGCGTGTCCTGATGTTTCTCAACTCATTTTACCTGCAAGTGCTTGTGGCTCGTATTTCCCATCGTTTATCAACTTGAACTTTCAAATAATTATCAAAGTAATTGCGTTGTGACTTGAGGTAAATGCAATGTGATGTCTTTGTTAGGATGTTGGTAAAAGATTACATGGTGGGCTGAAAAGTTTATAAATTAACATTGCTTAAAATGCAGATACACCTACTTAATGACTAAAATTAGCATGATTATTAAGGTGATTCCTAGCATAATCTATGAAAAACATCTCTTAGGTCTACTTCAGAATTCATAAAGTGTTAAGTAGTTCTAGTGACTGAAGCAGTTAGCTATCTGTTAGCAAATGGTAGAAGTGATCAATGTTAACTGTTAGCACCCTGTAATCTAATGTGGAGAATGCAGACATATTTATTTTGATAATTGTGGATGGAAAACCTGGTTCAATGATTTCAAAACAATCAGTTTCCTACATTTGTAATCACATGCAAGGTTTTATATTCCAGTCTTCTTTTTTTTGGTTCTGATTCTCTTCAACCTCTTCAAAATACCTGAAGTAGGCTTATGTCAGTTTTGGAATTCAGCCAAAGCTGAATATTTTAAGAACAAGAAGAACTTCATGTGAAGGAAGCCAGACTAAATAAACTAGGACTTTCTGGTTCTGGCATTTTTTACAATCTCAGTCTTCATAACCGAACATGAGTATAATATATTATAAAATACTTGGTTCTTTGGGTGGCTTGCTATAAAAATTGCATAAACAGAACTTTTCTAAAAATTATAGCACTCTTATTTTTGGATTATAATTTGGAAAACGCTTCAAAGAATAGAAAGATAGGAGAGGAAAATACCCAGCTAAATACTCGAGCCTATTTTTATTGCACTGATAGATGGAGCATTTTTTTTCCAGGGCTGTAGGAAAAAAATCTCAGCTAATTTGAAAAAGACTTTCCTAACAGGCTCTCTTCTGTTGCTCTCCAAATACTATCTCTGGGAAAAGGAGTGAGTAATATTACAAAGAAGCTGACATTTGTGTGTGTGTGTGTGGTGGTACTGGAGTTTGAACTCAGGGCTTTACACTTTGCTAGGCCTGAGCTCTACCACTTGAGCCACTCCACTAGCCCTAGCTGACATTTTTTTTTTATTATTAATTTTAGTTTTGAATTAGTGGGAGCTGACATTTGAAGTGATTCATTTACTTCTCCAAGCAGTCCTGGGGAGTAAGTACTACTTAGATTCTGTGATGAGAAAACAGGTCCTAGGATTCCTAGGTAGGAACTGGTCCATGCAGAATACCACCTCAGGCGACAGACCTAAAAGCTTCTGTGTGTGTGGCCCTGGTTGCCTCCAGTCAGGTGGGTGAATTTATCTTAGGATCAAGGGATGCTCCCCGGATTTGGGATCATGGGATGGAGAGCTGGAAAGATCTTAAGGGCTATTTAGGGGCCATTTAGAATGGTGGGGAGGGCAGGCACTGCTAAGTCCCTCTTTAGGGAGCCTGCACTGTCCCCCTGCTGCTTCTTTCAGCATAGGCAGGCCTGAGTTTAACCCCTGCCCTGCTGGATGACATGGGGACTCTGCGCCCTCATTCAGCATGAGAATGAGGCAGAATGAGGATGTATCAGATTTGTCCAAACCCTTTGTTTTTCTAAACCAAGCGCCTGGAGTTTCATGGAAGTATAACTTTTTTCTTCTGTGGTCTAAGAGGGCTTGCTTTTCTTCCAGCAGGGTGTGGCCAACTTCTGCTGTCAAGAGCCAGAGAGTAAATGTTTGAGACTTTGTAGTCCTTGAAGTCTGTCTTACAACTACTCAACTCTGCTCTGAGAACAACCATAAACAGTACCTAAACAAATGATCCTGGCTATATTCCAGTAAAGCTTTATTAACAGACGTTGAAATGTGGATTTCATAGAATTCACCAAGTATCATTCTTTTGATTTCTCCCAACCATTTAAAAATGTGACAAGCATTTTTAGCTTGCTTGCCCTACAAAAACTGTAGCTGCAGGCCCCTGAGCCACGCTGACCTTTTCCTACACTTACTACCTGTACTCGAAGGTTGAATCATTGTGATGTCCTGGGAAGAACACTGCCCCTCCAGGTAGCGATGACTTTTCATCCCAGCTCGTTGTGAATCATGCCATTGTGAGAAAGACCCTCATCTCTTCAACAGTGGGGATTGTTTGCCTGTAGAGTTAATGGGGGTGTGGGGGGGGAAGAGGATGGACAATTGAACGAAATTCCCAAGTCCCTTCAATCCTGTGAATTTGCAAGTGCAAGCCAGAACAGAGCAGGGAAACAGGAGTTTCAAGGTCTTCTCAAATCTGGAGCGAATCATTTAAAATCTCAGAAGAGTGGAGGGTGGGAGGAATTGATGTTTGAGAGTCCCTCAGTTCAAAAATTCCCTACTTAAATTTTTGATATTACTATGAATGAGTCATTTCACTTCATAGAGATTTACAATGCCTGTGTGTAAATCCTTTCTCTGGCCCTGTGGAGTGTAGGGTGGTGAGCAGGAAAGACTCTGGCTTGGATCCCAGAATCAGAGCAAGGATAGGCAGGTCCAGGATGCTTTTCAGAGGAGGTGACACCTGGAGTCAGATGGAAGGGTCAGTAAGGAAAGCCCACCCAGGGCCTCAGCACTTAAAGAGGAAACTAGTGGTGTTCATAACATATGAATAATGGGATATGGAGTACTGGCATTTTTACATATTTTCTCTTTGTGTGCTAGTGTCTTTCTTTTTGGTGATATTGGGGTTTGAACTCAGGGCCTCACACTTGCTAGCAGGTGCTCTATGATTTGAGCATACCTCTAGCCCTTTTTAGGTCTTAGTTATTTTTTGGATAGGGTCTTGTGTTTTTGCCCTAGCCAGCCTACACTGTGATCCTCCAACTTATGCCATCCCATGTAGCTGGGATGACAGGCATGAGCCACCATGCCCAGCCATTGTTGAGATGGGTTCCTTGCTAACTTTTTGCCCTTACTGGCCTCCAACTATGGTATTCCCCATCTCCACATCCCAAGTATCTGGGATTACAGGTGTGAGCCACTGTACTTGGCCACTGGGCCAATGGTTGAGATAGGGTTTTGCTAACTTTTTTGCCTCTGGTGGCCTTGGACTGGGATCCTCATATTTCTGCCTCCCTAATGGCTGGAATTGCAGATGTATCTCACCATACTTGGTCTTTATTGGTATCTTGTAAAAGACTAGATTGCAGTTAACAGTTTTCACCAATTTGCCCTGAGTTGATCATTATTTAACTATATTCTGGTTTGTTCATTGACTACACTTGTTATTTCCTCATTTTGAGAGGTGAAACTAATGCCCTATTAATGCTTTTATGATAAGCAATCTTCTTTACATATATGAGAATCAGAGATAGCAAGTGCCATGCCAACAACATGTCTTCCCAGTCTCTTGCATGGTAGGCAGTAAGATTCTGTGATCACTGGGAGATGACAGTGCTACAAGGTGCTCAGTGTTGGTGGACAGACCCCAACTGTCTAGGTTTCCAAAAAATGTCTTAATGAACACTGGTTCTATGAAAATAGCTGGAGTAGGCTTTATTACTCCCTCATTTTGCTTCTGAAAACACTGGACCTTAAAGATGTTACTTGCATTCCTTCAGGTTTAATGATTTAAGATTGCTGGTTAAAACCAGGAGCTCAGTTTACAGTATTACAGGTAGCAGATTCTGGGACCAGCCTCTAAGAAGCTTTCTTAACTCAGTGTTTGGAACCCATTCAGGAAAATTATGTTTCTGAAACTTAAACACTGAGACTTTGAATACACCTTCTATGTGTCAGATGAGTGACTTTTGCATGGATGTAGCTTTTGGTAGCATCTTGGCCAGATGTAGGAGAAGCGTCAACTTGGGTGGTGGGGTGGGTGGGATGGGGGCCGTGGGTGGGGCTTCAGGGAGAAGAAGCCAGCAGTATCCATGAACACTTTCATCTCTTTCAGCCTTTTCCCCCCTCGAAACCTATTTTTGGCCCTTGATTTCCTGCTGATCTAAGGCCCAAGGACCTTGCTTGGCTTAAGGCCACCTGGTCCCTCTTGGGGGCACTGGATTAGAACGGCTGCCCACTTCCCCTTTCCCTGCCACCAGCCATTACATCCGCCTGGGCCTTCCTTTTTGCCCGGCTCACTGCAGATTGCAACCTCTTACTCAGCCTTTCACCCTGTAGCAATAGTGGGGAACCGGAAGGAAGCACATGCTAGCTGAAATTTTAAGAACTTAGCTTTTCTATTTTCATCCACATTGTGTTTTTACTTTTCTTGATCTCGTACTGGCCTAACTATGCCATCTTGCCTGAGTAGCACCTGACCTTTCTGGACTTTGGCTCCTTTTGCTTTCAGCACCGCTCTTTAGGACATCCAGTTTTATTTGGTAAAATAGAACAAAACATAACCCTTGCATCTCATCTGTCCCACACTGAGTTCTTGAAAGTCTTCCAGCACACTTCTGCATTTCTGCTTTCGAATCCAATGAAGCTTTCATACATATTGTTGTAGAAGTGGAGGGAGAGGATGAAGTCTGTGTTTTCTT